TTTCCCTGTGAGTGGAGCAGAAATACTCATCACTTTAACATATGATGTCAGCAAAATTCTTGAAGGTTCTCTACGTTGCAATTTGAGGATAACCCCTTCTTTTCCTGGTGTACTAAAAAAATTTAATCAAAAATGGATGTTAAAAAATTGGTGGTTTTTTTCTTTATACCTTTTGAGATAATTGTGTTAATTTCATTTTCATTTTTATTCTTTGTTGGGGAATAAGTATGTATATCTCCCTAAAAAATCTCTAATGATTTTATTTGGTCATAAGACCTATGAAGAGGTAATAAAGTTACATGAATTCCTAAGGGTGTGTCTTTAATCAAACAAGGCTGGTGTTCTTCAAGGAAGAAACACAACTTATATTCTATCTGCTATAAGATGACACAGCTGGAGAGGAACAGTCTGGTAGCTAAAAAGAAGGCTTCAAGAGAACATGAACCCTGTCAGACTCTTGATCTTAGATTTCCCAGCCTCTAGAACTATGAGAAATAAATTATAAGCTGTCCAATCCATGATTTTTTATTCTGGCCACCAGAAGCTATTCATAGCCTATTAATACACTGCCTTGGATTCATTTTGTTTTAAGTGTTACAATTGCTTTAACCTTTACATTCTTGGAAACACCAATTGGCCATGATGTATTATCATTTCTATATGCTGTTTGACTAAATTAGCCAACATGTTGCTAAGATTATTTTTACTTATGTTTGTGACATATACTTATTTCCAATTTTCTCCTCATAATATTTTTGTCTGATTTTGGTGTCTGACTAATAATACCCTCAAAAATACTCTGAGGGTTGACCCATTGCAACAATGAGATGTACAAGACACTATGTTGAAAAATGAACTTTACAATGTAGGCTGGTGGGGGGACAAGTGTATTTGAGGAGATGGGAGGGAAGAGATGATAGGGGAAAAACTAAGGAGGAGGCAACAATGCTTGATAGGAAATGTACTCATGACCTTGCTCTTGTAACTATAACCCCTCTGTACAGTATTTTCACAATTAAAAACTTATTAAAAATATTCTGGAAAAGTTTGTAGAGAAATTATATTCTTTCCTTGTTAGACTGTGTTAGAATTAACTAGTGAAACTGTCTGTGTCTGGAATTTTCCTTGTAGAAAAATTTGAAATTTAACTTAATTTTTGAATAAATGTTGAGATATTCAGATTATCTCTTTTTTTCTGAGTGACCCATGGTAGTTTGTGTCTTCAAGGAATTTGAACATTTTGTCTAAATATTCGACTGTATTAAGATTACTATTTAGTGTAAAATACAGATACAACTATAATTGTAATTCACCTCTTGAGTGATGAGCTTGAAAAGGATGTATATTCTACTGCCATTGATTATAGTGTTTTATGTCAATAGGGTCATCAAGTTGAGTGAAGTGTTATTCTGGTCTTCTATATATTTTCAATTTTGACCCTATCAATTATTGAATAAGGAGGGAACATCATCTTTCTGATTACAATAGCAAGTTTTCCTACTTTTTACAGTACTAATAGTTTTTGTGTACATACTTTGAAGTGCTCAATGAGAACATTTGATAGTTATTAAGGTGATTGGGTGCAAAGCTATCTTTGTATTTGTTTCATCTTTCTTTTTGCTTAATGTCTTCTTTTGAATTCTTTATTCTATTTTCTCTTCTTTGTTGGCTTATTTGCTGAAACTTTTTATTTTTATTTTGGTAGTTTTCTATGATTTATAGAATCATTCTTGATATTATTACATCAAATAACATAGTACCATTTAACATATGGTATGATAAGGTCATAACAATATACTTCCTTTTTCATGTCCATGTCTGAACTAATATATACTATTGTTCATATATCTTATATTTACATATATCATAAACCACAAAATATTTAAGGTCCTTTATGCATAGTCAATTATCTTTCAATACATATAAACATAAGGAAAACAAAATATTTTTCAGATGGCCACATAGTTATCATTTCTAGTGCTTTTTACTTATCTATATAAATCCAAGTTTTAATCCAGTATAATTTTTCTACTGTCAGAGTATTTACATATATCATAAACCACAAAACATTTAAGGTCCTTTATGTATAGTCAATTATCTTTCAATACATATAAACATAAGGAAAACAAAATATTTTTCAGATGGCCACAAAGTTATCATTTCTAGTGCTTTTCACTTATCTATATAAATCCAAGTTTTAATCCAGTATAATTTTTCTACTGTCAGAGTGCTTCTTTTATAAATATACATATAAATGTATTCTTCATTCATTAAAACTCTCCAATAACATTTACTAATCACAACCACATCCTGCTAGATTCTATGTAATCTGGTCTGAAGATCCCATTCTGGCTTCAATTCTTCATCATTTATACACTGTCTGCTTTAAGCACATTAGCTTCCTTCCAAGTACATGCTCCTATCAAAGCTTTTGTACTTGCTCTACCCTTCACCTGGACAGCTCTTTGATGTTCTGCTCTCATATTTAATGGAAATCTCTCCTTCCACATTACTTCATGAAAGGACACACACACACACACACACACACACACACACACACACTTCTTATAATTCTTATACTTTATCTTGCTTCATTTTCTTTCCAGGGCAGTTAGTGCTACTTGAAATTATATCTCTGTTGATTATGTATTGTCTTTTTCAAAAAGAAAACAACCTTCTAATAAGTACCCAGAGTTTATTTTGATAGCCATCGTTATACTGCATTAAACAAATTCTGAAATAAATGATCCAGAGTAGATTAGATTCTGGAAATAATTCAAGAGTAATCACAACTATCCTATTCTAAAAGAGCAGTTCCTTTCCTATTAATCTAAATGAATTAGCTTTGCATTCCAAAGCTATAATTAAGGCTCTGCCTTGGGGCAATAAAGGGCAAAGAACAAAGGACAAGAAAGGCTCCTTTCTTCATAATTATTCCTTCATCTTTCCTTAAGTCCCTCATTTGTTGGATACATAAAGGTACTAAAAAGGAGAAAGGGGAGAGAAAAATTAAGTGCCTTGATTCTTGGCAAAAAAAAAAAAAAAAAAGCCGCCTCTTTTTTTTTCTCCATCCATTATGACCCAACATGTCCAAGCAGATTTTAGAGTTTAAGGAATTAGATATGAATAAAGTCTGTACAGCCATTCCATTTTTGACTACTTTATGTTTATCCACTCAAAAAAATCGCTATAATTGTCAGGAGTTCAGAGATGACCAGAAACTGGCTTATCGGATCAAGCTGAAGAGCCAGCACCAAGTTCCCTGTCCACAGCAACTCCTTTCATCTTTTCTGCAGACTCAGCACCTTGCTAAGATAAATAAATCTTATTTAAAATGACATAACTAGTCCTAATTTGTAATTGATGCTTTTAGCTTACATTGTTTCCCATGACTTCCAGAGGTAAATTTATGCTATATGAATTCTGTCTAATGCAAACAACTTCTTCCATATTTTTCATCCTCTGGAGAATACTTCACACTAGAGGAAGAACTGCTCTGATAGTAAATTTGGGACAGGATAACAAAAGCAAAATTATTTTCCAAATTCCTCCTGCCGCATTACATTTTTACAACTTATGTATTTCAAGAGTAACATGAAAATTAACTTCAGGAAATAAACATTCCACTGTAATACCAGAATACATAATTCTTTAAGATGGAGTATTACTAAGTTACACAGACTGATTTTGAACTCTGAATCCTCCTGACTCAGCCTACCAAGTAGCTGGGATTATAAGTATGACTATGACCAGTTCAGACATTTTTTTCCCTATGCTGCAAAACTATGCATGATTAGGAATTCAAAATTTTGACTATTTGTATATAAATTATCTAAAACCATTCCTATGTAGTCTGCAATTTCCTCATATTATTTTGAAGATGAAAAGTAATTTATGTGAAATAATAACCATTTAACAAATGTCCTAGTAATTGATAATCTATCATATTCAACTTACATAGACTTAAATTATCCAGAACATCACAAAATGGCTCTCCAGACAGACCTTCTAGTTTTTTCAAACTCAGATAAAGATTTTTTTTTTTTGGGTCCAGTCATGGGGCCTGAACTCTGGGCCTGTGCACTGTCCCTCAGCTCTTCAGCTCAAGGCTAATGCTCTACCACTTGAGTCACAGCGCCACTTCTGGCTTTTTTCTTTTTGCTTATGTGGTGCTGAGGAATCGAACCCAGGGCCTCAGGCATGCAAGGCAAGCGCTCTACCACTGAGCCACCTTCCCAGCCCCCAGATAAAGATTTTTTAAAAAAATCATTTACCTACAATTGAAGACTCAGCTGTGGTTTAACTCTTTTAGAAATAACAACTATTTTATTTTCTCATTTGATTTTATAATGATTGAATGATGAAAAATGTCTCTTATTCATCTAACAAGTATGAACTGAGTGTCTGTTATAAAGCAAATAATGGAAGGAAACGGTGAACACCACTGACCATTCCCTATCCTTCCTGAACTTGCAGTCTATTGTGAAAGATTAAGTAAGCGCTTGACTTAGAGATAGTGAATCCTAAGGGGAAATGAACACGATGAGCAGGTTTCTCCAGTGGTAATCTAGTTGAGAAAAGGTTATTTTAAGGAAATAGGATGGTTTCATATTTTACCTACATATACAAGATGGCATTCCTTTAGAGATTCTGACATTTTAAGCAGTGAAAATTCAAGCTGAGCCAGGTACTGGTGGCTCACAACTGCAATCCTAGATGCTCAGGAGGCTGAGATCTGAGGATCACAGTTCAAAGCCAGACCAGGCAGGAAAGTCTGTGAGACTCTTATTTCTAATTAACTACCAGAAAACAGGAAGTGGTGCAGTGGCTCAAAGTGGTAGAGTGTTAGCCTTGAGGAAAAAAGAGATCAGAGACAGCACCTAGGCACAGAGTTAAAGCCCCACAGGGGAGAGACAGAGAGAGAGAGAGAGAGAGAGAGAGAGACAGAGAGACAGAGAGAGAGAGAGACAGAGAGAGAGGAAAGAAAGAAAAGAGAAAATTCAAACTGCTATAGGTAGATGTAGTAATTGTAATAAAGTCATCGTAAGCAACAGTTACATTGTAAGGTTTAAATTATCTTGGGAAATGCTTTAAGTTACTCCTGACCCTAAAAGCAGCATGTAATATACGTAATATGGTATGTTTTGATGATATTGGAGCTTGAACTCAGTTTTGTGCTTGTGCTTTTTGAGTGAGTGTTCTGTTTAAGCACCATTTCCAGAACTTTTTGCTCTGGTCACTTTTAATGTGTCATTTTTAAACTTTTTTATTAGGGTGGAATACTTGTATAAAGTTTATTTGTGATGTTGATCGCATGAGGGTAATGTCCTTCCATCAGTTCATCCACTTGTACGAGTCTTTCTTGACCCTTCTCCTTTCTGTCCAATCCTTCTCTCACCTCATCCCTCACCATTCTTTTTAACAGTTTTGGTGGGTTCCATTACGCTGTTTTCACAACTATATTTAATGAACTTCTATAATATCCTGTCTGCATCACCCTGTTCTTTCCAGCTCTCTCCACCCTTCATAGCATTTTTTTTTAAGTCTGGATTCCACAATATGAGCAAAAAGTATGGACTTCTATCTTCGTGAGCTTGGTTTATCTTGCTTAACATAATGTTCTCCAGTTCTGTCCATTTTCCTACAAACAGCATTTCATTCCTTTTGGCTGAATAATGTTCCATTGTGTGTATTTTCATTTTTCCATCATTTGTTGCTGGGCACCAGGGCTGGTTCCATATCTTAGCTACTATAACTAGTAGCTACTGTAAACATGGGTGTGCCTCTATGTCTCTTGTATATTGATTTGCATTTCTTTGGAGACTAGGCCTGAGAGCTGCATAGCAGGATATATGATGATTTTTCGAGAAATTAAAAATAGGTCTTGCTTTTTGCCAAGGACAGTCTGAACTATGATCCTCCTATTAATATTTGGCTTCCTAGTGTGACTGGGATGACAAGTACACACTACCATGCTCAGTTTTGTTTTTTTTTTCAGTTGCTATGGTGTACTACAAATGTTTTTGCCTGTCCTGTCCAGGAACTGTGACACCCCTGATTTTATCCCCCTATGTGCTGGGATTACAGACATGAGCCACCAGCACCTACCTGGTATATATCATAATATTTGTATGACATTTTAAAATTCAATTTCATCATGCATTTTAAAATTCAATTTCATCATGACATCTTTGTGTATGTGTGTAAAGTACTTTAATTATAACTGAGCCCTGTACTTCTGGAAAAAATACCAAAGGTTAAATAACTCACTCATGTTTGTTGTTTTTAGGAAATGACTTACTGTACAAAAAAAAAAAATGATCTGTCCCATGTGACTTATGTAACTCTTCCAGACGCTTCTTTATTTACCTATAACGAAACCAGACTGAGATTCTCCAAGTTTTTATTCTTGGCCTCATAAATGATTAGCTAAACTTCTTGTTCCACTGATCAATAGGAAAAAAATGTTTGCTAACCAAATTTTGGTTAGGCCTGTCTGTTTTCCCAAGGTCCCTGAAATTTGGCTCAGCATCAGCCTGAGCAGGCACATGGCCCGCTTAGGTCCTGCAGAGTACACAGCTCCTCGCAAAGAAAAACACTCGGATGTAATGAAAGGTCAGGCCACCTTTCATCTCCCTTTCCATCAGCACTTATTCAGTTCTTTCTAGCCTTACTTAATTCTCTCTGAAAGAGAAAAACCAAACCGGTGAGCCTACCTCTTCAGATGCTCACCTTTTCCTAATCTTGTAACAGTCTTTGATAATGGATTGTCTCTTTACTCAGTTGAGATTTGCTTCCTATTTGACACCTGTCTCCTGAAAGCCAAGCTAGTATCTCTAAGTAAGTGCAACACAATCAATTTGTTACAGTATTTAAAGGGTTAATGTTTCCTCAGTTACTCAACAGATAAAATATTTGCTTGTCCAATTGGAAGAAAAAATATGCACTTTCAGACACTGCAATCACAGAGCAAGATGTTCACATTGTGAAAGCCTGAGGATCAAAGTATCCATCATCAGAAAGTCTTCCATCTCAAGATCAGGTGAAAATACATGCTCACTGAAAGGAAGAGCTGTTATAAACACCATCATGGCTTTCCTGACGGTTTTCTTCCATTCTTTTTGCTTCACTTCTGTGTGGTCCTGGACACATACTGTTGAATTAAGTTATATAAAATGTAAGAATGACACATCCTCTGAAATTCTACAATAGGAAGGGGGAAAAAAGGAAGAAAATATAATAAAATCTCATCTATCTGGAATCCTTAGAGGATGTGACATTTTGAAATGTTGAAGATTTGCTCACTTAAATCTCTTTATAGAAATCTCTCTGAATTTCATTACATATATACTACTGCTCTCTTAAAGTGCTCTAAGTATAACTTAACCTTTTCTTGGATGACACACAACCATTCTTGTTTCTAAAGTAATGTGTGCAGCAATGTAAAGCAATAATAACTGCTTGGTCTACAGTAGTGCACAGTACTGAACTCTGTGTGTTCTCTTTCTCTTTCTCCCCTGGCTACTGTCCCATTCTTGTGGTAAAATTCCAAGGTTTTTTTCATTACATCTACCTATAACAGTAACTCGTTCCCTTCTATGTGCCACTTTTTACAGGCTTTAGATGTGGTGGGGAAAGGTAGGGATAGAAATTTCTAATTCTAGGACTTGCTTGAAAGTCCTCTCTGAGACAGGACTCCAAAAGTCTTTTTACATAATTGAAATACTGTCTCTGATTAAGTTGCATTACCTATAGTGTTTTGATTTTTGTTGTTCTCACCTACACTAAGGCTCTCTTTATTTGTTCTCACCTAAGGCTCTCTTTATTTCATGACTAGCTGTATTCCAATTTTTGAAAAAAGTAAAATAGAGTTATTTAGTGATGAGGATATGTTCTGAGAAATATATTGGTAGGTAGTTTAGTTCTGTGCAAACTTTATAAAGTGTACTTACCTAAATGTAGATGGTACAGTCCAGTCACTCAACGGGGCTTTTTTGATGTAATCTTTGTTCTTTTCTTTCAGCATTAGTAATTTAACTCAGAGCATGGTTCATGTTCAACCACTTGTACTTCATCTACAGCCTTTGCTGCAATCTTGTACGATGTAAAAAGCTGCTGGTGTAAGATAGAATATTAATTTACAGTAAAGTTAGTATTATATAAGTAGGAGTGTACTCTAAAATAATAGTAAGAGAATACTATGCTAAGTACATAAAGAAATCACATAATGTACCTACACATGACCAAGTATTATGTACTATGCAATTTTTTATACCTTTGATAATACAAGAGTGTGTTAACAATTACAAATATGTGAATAGGTGACAGGAAGTTTTCAAACCCATTGTACCTTCTGGAACTATCACTGTGTGTGTGCTCTGCTGTTGACTGGAACTTCATCATGTGGTAGCCCATAACTGTGTAAATAAATGGACTTTGTGTTAAAATGCTTTGTTAAATGCAAATTTTTATTTGGAAGCCTGGGCCTGGGATGATGTTTCCAGATGGTGCATATGCACCTCACCTGGGAGCCAGTTTGCTACTCACATGATAGTTGGTGAGAAATGTGGAACCTCCGTCTCTTCCAGACATACAGAAACAGACCCATAGTGACTGATTCACATAGTCATTAAAGCTTAAGAAGTGTTTTCATAACCCAAAGCGGTGATTCTCAAAGTTTGAAATGCAAATTCTGCACACAGACTTACTGACTCAGAAACTGAAGGGGAGGCAGAAGAGGAAGGAAAGCATTGTCACTGTCTGTTTTAATCAGCCTTCCTGGGGATTTTAAAGAACCACTGGCCTTGAGCATTTATTAAATATACACATTTCTAGGTCATGTTTCTAGAAGCTCTGATTTATTAGATGTATATCAGAACTCTGGAATCTGTAGTATTTATCCACCCTTCTTGATGAATCCTCTATGAAGAAAATGCTGGAAACACTACTATGGCCCTATTGTTTCAGCTTCTGAACCTATCACCTCACTTTTAATGAGCCCTGGTATTGGAGACACTCCTATAAACTATCTCTACTTCTGTTATTGAGTAACTCTCCAGTGAGCATTTGTGTGAGTCAGGCACAAGGTCAAACATCATCTGAAGTCCACCCTTCATGTTAGTCCTAGATGCTAACAGTGCATAAGTCATATAAAGAATGTTTTATTCTACCAAGCCTTCTTGAGCTCTCAACTCAGTCTTTTAGCCATATTTATATTTGAAGCTACAAAGAGACCAAAATTTGCCTCTGGGAACATAGCCAATTTGATATTCAAAAAGAAAAGTTTAATTTTAATTAATCACAACTATAGTACATACAGCCTTTAATATAGCAACAATAAAATCCAGCACTTAGTGTTTTTCTAAGCCATATTGACCACTCATTCATGCATGCACACCCTCATCTAGTGCATGATTACCGAGTATCACATCGTAACTAAAGAATGGACTCTTGAACTATATTGTCCCTGTCGATTTAGTTTTTTAAAGGTATTTCATAAGGCCAGTCACAGTCACATGCCTTCAATCCAAGCTACTCAAAAGATAAAGATCTAGAAGCTCAAGGCTTGAAGACAGCCCAGAAGAAGGTTGAGATTGTTATCTCAACCAAGATCTGGATGTACGTGACAGTACATACCCGTAATTCCAGCTACGTGAGAGGCCAGAGGATCACAATCTGAGGGTAGGCCCAGGTAAAAATTGGTCTGGATTTTGCATTTAGAGAAGAATAGATTGGGGAAGGAGGAAATATGAAAGATTATTTTAGGGCAGGTAAGTTATGATGGTGTGTTGGACTGAAGTGTTGGTGTTGATTAGGAAGAACTAGAGAGGAGAGAGATCCACAGAATATTTAGAAGGGAAACCAATTAAGTGGTGAATTAGTTGTGAACTTGAGAGACAAAAACCCTCAGAGATGTTGTCTAGGGTTTTAGACTGTTCAACAAAAAAACATGACTTTATGAGCCACAAAGACACACTAGAAGAAGACCAGGATTAGGGACAAATCTTAACTTCTTTATCTATTAGGATGTAAGAAATATAAATTAATGGTCTAAAAGCAAAAAACTGGAGGAGAAAAACCAATAAGAGCTTAACAAATGGAAAACTGAAACACAAAGCCCAGAAATCATGATAGGAACTCAAGCATGTCCAAAAATCAAAAAAGTAGAAAGTAAAAGAAGTATCAATACAGAAGATGCTCTGATTTTACAGCATGAATGATATTCCATATCTCAGTAGCCATTCTTTCCAATCCTAGGTCGGCTTTCTGCTGCAGTAGGTTTTGGGTTCTGGCCAGACTATTTTTTACCCATGTCACTAGATTGTGTGAATTTTTTGTTACTGGTTGTGGCAAAATTGTCTCCCCAGGCCATGAGCAGAAAATAATACTTTTTATGGTGTTGAATAGCTTTTTTTTTTTGTCGGTCGTGGGGGCTGAACTCTGGGCCTGGGCACTGTCCCTCAGCTCTTCAGCTCAAGGCTAGCACCCTTCCATTTGAGCCACAGTGCCACTTCTGGCCTTTTTCTGCCTATGTGGTGCTGAGGAATTGAACCCCTGGGTTCATGCCTCATGTATGTGAGGCAAGCACTCTATCACTGAGCCATCTTTCCAGCCCAGTGTTGAATATCTTGAAGAAAGAAATTACTATATTTAAGCACCTACATTTTTGTACTCAATGCACTACCTAAAACCTAAAATCTCTGACATATTCACAGATTTTTTTCATGCTCTAGAAAAATCAAAATTAAATTTTCCTCACTCTCAATTGACACAATTGGTATTGACACAATCCTGTACCAACATAAGTAGCACTTGTATGAAAATTTTAAAAAATTGATTGTGAAAAAGTGATCACTGAAGAATTTGGCTGAGAACAAAGCAAAAGAACTTTCCCAAGTAAGTGTACCTCAGAGGAGGACCATCAATCTCTCTCAAGAATAGCCTGTCCAGGATACCAAATCCACAGCAGCACAGGACCAATGTCGATGTCTGAGCTCAGAATAAATGAACATCTTTCCCCTTTGCATTAGCTACTCAAGAGGCAAAGAAATGATTAGAAAAGTTTCATTCCTTTTGCTCAGACTGGCCACTTGACATTCGTGCAAAAGAAGAATAAGCTCTTCTTGATTCAGTGATAGAAAACTGAGACTTTCCTCTCTCCAAGACTGGAAAATCTCCCTCAAACAGAAATGGGAGTGCTGGAAGGATGGTCTACAAAAGAGTCAGATGTCCAGTAGAGACACTGAAATTGAGATGTCTGGACTTGAGGCATAGTTCAAGTGATAGATAACTTGTACAACAAGCCTGAGGCCTTGAACTCAATACTAGTACCATCCCTCCACCCCCACACCCCCGCCAAAAGATGCATATGTTTACACACACACACACACACACACACACACACACACACACGAGGAAAGAAAAAGAAAATACCTTCCATATATGTGCTATACAAAGCAATGGATGAAAATGGCATTAGACACGAAAACAGTGAAAACTGAGATGCGAGTTTCTAGAGCTGCATCTTAAGGAAATGGACACATTTAAGAGTCAGGAAGAGAATAACTACATAGAAAACAAGAACGGTTGTTGAAACAGCAGAGGTGTTGAAAACCAACATGTTGTTGGGCCACTGAAATCAAGGGAAGAAAAGATGTAACAAACATTGCTGAATGCTGCTGAAAGGTGATGTTGAATGAAGATTAAAGAATATTTCAGGAGTTTACAACCTGAAGGTTGAGAACTTCCACCAAATCTATTTCAAGGGGTGACAGTGCCAGAAGCCATATTTGAGTAGCTCAAGACAGGAGGAACTGGAGAGAGCTGGTATTGAGAACAACTATTTGGAAAAAATATAGGAAATGTAGTTGCCAAGAGAGAGGACAGGGCAATGCCTGAGGAACAGAAGGTTTGTTTTATTTTAGTTGAAACTTCATTGCATTTAAAATCAAAAGGAAGAAGATAGAAGGCAAAACTACATCTACACAGGAAAAATGAATAGTATGTATTATAATATTACAGAGCAAGTGAGAGGCTTTGAAAAGGCAGCATAGGTGGTAGAGTTAGCCTCAGACAGGAAGGTGTAGCTCTTCTATTGGAACAAGACATGAGACCAGATGCAGAAATACATTTTGTGTCCTTGAAATGGAAAAGAGAATGTTATTCCCCACCCCCTGGAATGTGAAGAAGGCCATTACTGAGGGCAAAGGTGCTAGGATTGGAGTATTCTGAACCTTGCTTAGGACTTTGACCTTTGGGGACTGGACCATTCTATAGTGCATGGTTAGATATAGTGCATTCTACAGTGCACTGTAGTTTCTGAACAGAACCCTGTGGCCCTTACATGTTACATGTTAATGCCTCCACCTCCTCAACTACAATGGTGGAAACTGACATTGGGAAATATGCCCTCAGTGTGAAGAGCATATTTGTTCACAAAGAAAAATCACTGGACAAGAGATTATCAAGAAAATCTAAACCACCTAAAAGTGTTGTACACAGTAGAAAGGCAAATGGAGCAAATAGCCCAGGAAGCTTGCCAGGCACCGTTGTGGCTGGGGTGAGGGTGGAGATAAATCCTAGTGGAATCAATCTGCCATGGCGTACTTTTTCCACTGAGGCCTGGCTGCCAGGGTGCAGATACTTAAAGAGCAGATGCTTGTGTCCCCTGGGGATGGAGGTTTTGCCAGAGAAATGTGAACAAAACGAGAAAAGGAGATGCTGGCAAGACGTTTACTGAAAGTGCTGAGATGTTTACTGAAATTATGAACCACAGAATCTAAGGAGGATAAATGCAGAGATTTAAAAGCAACAACAAAAAAACCCAGGATTTATTGAAACCAAAGTTGAGATAACTTCAAGGGCAAGAAATGAAGTTGTGATCAAACCTCTTTGAGAGACTAAGACAAACACAAAATAAATTTATTTCAAAAATCAGTTTATATCATGATTTCTTTTTCACTGAGTGAAGAAAATAAGAATAAATAGGAAATATGTTCCATTTGTGTTGTAGCCTAATTTCAACTCACTGTTTCCACAACATGCAGTTTCTCATTAACTAGGCTAGAAAAGGGCTGCAAAGAACTTTTGATCCTTACAATTCAGATTTCCAA